ACGGAACAATCCCAGATCATGTAAATAGAATCCAAATCGGCAATATCAAATGGTAAGAAAATAGCGTTACACGTTGCATTTTATTAACACCTCCACCAGTCTCATATTGGGCATCTCCTTTACATCTCGCACCGAAAAAGAATAAGGGATAGCGACCGTGCGGTGACTATCTCTCGTACTGTTCCAGAAAAATACCATGTTTTACAATCCTGGGTAGAGGTTCAGTCCCTAAAATACGAAATCGTCTCTGACTTTCCATACTTGCACTACTTTTTCACCGTTGTAAATAATTAATTCTATTACAGTTATTTAACCGCGGCTTAATTAACATCATGTACCACCAGGATGGACAACCAAATTTCAAGTGTTGAGCATAGTCACGTAATTTGTGGGGAGAGACTAAAATTTTTGTACCTTTCGGATGATTGAGGATCCACATAACTGTTTAAATCGTATAGTGATTTTATACTAATTCGATTCGAAACCTTTTTTAGTGCTTCTAATATTTAGAGTTCAATAAAATATCATTAATTTCAAGTCTAATGAAATTTGTTGCTCAAGCTCCTGCTAACTATAAGCCGAATTAAGCCCTTTCTCTTGTTGCTGTTTTTAATCTAAATCTAAAAAGCAAACATTTACCTACATTAAAATTGCGATTGTCATTCTACCATGGCAGGGAGCAGAAGAATATTTACAATGCCGAGATTTTGTTGTTGGAGGCGAAACACCTGGGGTGTATGAAACTGTAATTGAATGAGGGAATAAAAATAACTCTAAAAGCAATTTTGAAATATAGAACAAGCATTTACATGAACTCACATTTAGCGATCCCCCGGAAATTATTCCGTTCCTTTATTCCTACGCAACGCTTATTCAAATTCAAGCAGATTTTCCAGTTTTTCCAGCCGTAAAACACCCACAACGCACAGCTTTCAGTTTGCGCTGTGCCATAAAATTGTTTTACTAACAACATTTTCAGGTGGCGTTTTGTTTCGCACATACTACGTACAAAGATCTGTACTGTTGGCCCGAATTTACAATTTTCCAAGCTACCTATCTGTACAAATGCAACGTGATTGTTTTGTAACGACATTACCAGCGCGACGTTCCAACAACGTTACTGTCATACGAATTATTTTTACAACCATTTGCAATTATGGCAGATTAAAGTTTCAATCAAATTCACGAAGTTGCCACGTTTTGTGAGATACTGACATTCTATTATGTATTTTCCAGGTTGACAAATTATTTTTTTTTTGTTTAGCAACACGCCAGGACTGGTAAAAAAATTTTATATTAATTTAAATTCCGTGCATGAATAATGTCACCAAACGGAATATAACGCCATTACATCGATAGGAAAAATCCGCCCACGTCGAAGTATAACACAAAATAAACTAAACCAATGCTAAATTATAAATGAAATTTAGGGTTAAGTAAAGCCTGAAATAAATAAATACGCTATTCCCGTTTGTCGTTCAAAAAGTTTGTAATTAAAATCGTGTCCTTTATTTGTATACATTTGCTAGGAAAATGTTTGTGATTGCGATTTAAAGTTAGGTAGGTACTCTGTGCGCTGGAAATATCAAAGGCGAAATGTGGATTTAAGAAATTAGTAAAAAGTACGTAATTCCTTACGCCAACGAATTTGTTAGCAATAAACGAAAGTACAAAGGAAGCTTTTAAATGCATTAGTTTTTTGTATTCCAAACGCGCCTGTGTAAGTATTTTTTTGTAATTGTGAGTGGTGCTTTCCCCGTTAATCCGAAAGTAAATATGAATAGGGCTTTTTACACATTTCGACAGGGTTATGGATGACACGCGACAAATTTAGATGCATTGAAATGAAAGACCTTTGGTATGGGTTATATCGATTAAACTTTGTAATTGTGTATGAGTAGAGATCCACCAAGGTAGGTACGTAGAAATAACAAGCGCGCATAATTAGATTTGTTTCAGATAGGGTTACCGTGCAGGATGTAATAGTATTTTACATTATTAGCATGGTAAATAGGTTTTTGCCGGTATGGAGCGCCGTTTTACTTTTAAATACTGCCGCAAGCTAAAGATTTGGAAGATTAATTTTCCATAAAATAAATATATACTTCAGAAATATTTTAAATACTCAAGCACGTATAGAATTAAAATTAAATTGAAATTAAAATATCTTGGTGATATTTTTAAATAATTAGAAACATTTATTGGAACAAATTTGTCTTCTACATTGGAACCCAATGAGATATTTTTACTTTTTATATTTGCATGAAAGAAAACTAGGTATTCAGAGCCAAAGTACACATAGCTACATATCGATTGAAACAATTAATTAAAGAAACCTTAATTATCTTAAAGTATTAATAGTCCAATATATCCGATCGGAACTGCGGTTTTCGTTAACTGATGCGCAAACACAGACACCAAATAATGATACCTCGGAACTACACTTCTTTGATTGCACTTGAATTACGATTTTAACGACAATGGGTTCTATTAAAGTCCGTCTCAAAAACAAATACGATTCAAGTCTTCCTCTACTATTTAAAACATTCTTCCCTCTCTCAGTGTCCTCTGCTTCAGTTTGCGCCATCGAAATTAAACATCTGTGGCGAAATCTGCTGGTTTTGAAACTAATTAACTTACGCAGCGATAACGAATTTCTTATAACTTTAACAAAGCATTATTTCCAAATGTCCTTAGTCTTTCTAAGTAAACAATAAAATAAAGTCAAAATACTACGCGATTATTTACACAAAATTACACAACAAATAATTCTTAAATAAAATTACATTACACTTCAAATTCAAATTTCGTGATCGAAATTGTGTTCAAACGACCACCTTTGTGCTTAAAGAAAATAAATTTTCTCGAAAACTTACAATTTGTAATTAATAGGTCTCCAAATTCTTTATTGTTCAAAAGCGACAACTTATTGGGGCTGAACCTAACTACCTGAAAGACCAAATACAATTTTTTGTTTTATAATAATTCTTGGATAGGTTTCTCTTTAATACATCAAATGCGCGAAGGGCGACCTTCAACCGCTGCAGCAACTACTTTCTCTACTGTTTGGAAAATGCAGCAGTGGTTTTTCTTACTCAGGAAATTGACGATCTTTCAGATGATTTTTGGTTTTTTGAGGAGATCGGTCATACTAGATACCTAGGTACGAGGCGTGTCTTATCATGCTGCTGCCACTGATTAGGCCAACCATGGTGGCTTGCAGCACTGCATTTTGGTATACTTAAGTTGGTCCTTACAGTTTGATTAAATTTGAGTTTGAAGGATGAAGGAACTAAAAATTTAAAGCCTAAAAGAAATCAAAGGTAAACCCTCTACGTTGATGTCATAAAATGTACATACCTCTTAAATAAGAGGGTTCATTATAGAAGAAGCATCAATTGTTGATGGAAACATTGTCGACAGCTGTATCTAAAGAACCGGTCCATTTCAAATGGAAATGCAAATGGCGGTACTGACGATAAAGAAGAAAAAACGCAATTATACCCTCCTACGGAGTTAAAGGCGACCGTTCACTAATTATTCCAGAATCCCCAATTGAATGTCAGAGATTAAGAAAATATGGATGATGACAATTAAAATTCCATGCGTTCTTACCAACGTTTCAGCTATTTAATTAAAATGAAGTACACTTTGTCACGGGTCACAGAAGAAAGAAGAAAATGAATGCCGACAATCGATAACCAAAAATCACGGTGCCAAAAAATGCGCGCCAAAATGGCGTGGTTAACATTGACGTTCATATAGGGGATCATTTTTATTAGTATAATCTACAATTGTTGCACTAAAAGGGCAGCGAACTTTGAATGCACATTTTTTTTCAAAATGGTCATTTAAATATTTCAAAACGAAATAGTTAAATATTTAAATGGTGGCCATTTTGGAAAAAAATGAAGCAGGTGATTATTTTTATGAGTTTAGCTTTGTATCCTCGCGCATTATATTCTCCTGATACAATATTTCTGACCTAACCTAACTATCACTCTAACCTAACTTCTCTCATAGTTTATCCTAACCTTAAATCTCCTCGCGCATTATATTATCCTGATACAAGATTTCTGACCTAACCTAACTATCACTCTATCCTAACCTCACTAATATTTTATCCTAACCGTCAATCTCCTCGTACATTATATTCTCCTGATACAAGATTTCTTACCTAACCTAACTACCACTCTTACCTAACCTCACTAAAACTTTAACATAAATTTCAACCACCTCCTCGTTCATTATATTCCCCGGATACAAGATTTCTCACCTAACCGAACTATCACGCTAACCTAACCACACTAAAACTTTAACCTAACGTTCAATCACCTCCTCGGACATTATATTCTCCTGATACAAGTGTTGTAAAAGTTTAAGACGAAGTAAGGCGTTGAAATATTTCTGTAAGAGCTGGGTTTACAGTCTGTATGCCCTATGTCCGCACAGGTGTTTGTAGCTCGTATCATATCGTATCGTATGGGTGGCACTCTCTAGGTACAGACGTTTTCAGCCGTCTGTGTGACTTTACGATAGTTGTGGTATGAATGCCGTGACCGCCAGCTTTACATGTCCTCCGAATCCTGGTAGTCAGAAGATGTTCTGTACCACTGAAAAGTGGCAAGATGTGGGATTCGAACTCACAACCTGTGAAATTAGAGTCCGAGTCTGTTGTGTATTTTGAGGTGGCACACTATTAGTTAAATTTACATGTCTTTAGTTTAGTAAACTTTAATTATCCATAACACAGAAGTACAGAGAACTATTTATGTCGAAATTAATATCCTAATTGAAAAGCGATGCGTAACTAACTAAAAAAATAATAATTGACAATCTTTTTTTTTCCTAGCAACAGCGCGCTAGATTTTTAGGCTTAATTCTAATTTAAATTGAGAACATAATAGTCTCCCCCCACAAAATTATGACAGTTGTAACAACAGTTTGAATCACATGATATAGTCTCTAAAACGTTCTGGAGGATGGCGGGGTCGAGTAGATCACCGGACGGATTCCACTGTTGGAGATTGTCCAACTTCTGAAGGTTCAGCTTCGACATCAGGAATAACATCCGATCGAGGATTGGCTGGTAGGAGCAGGGACGCCAGTTTTTCGTAGTGGTGGTTGATTTCAGGTGATTCCGAATCTAAAGTAATTTGTGGAGGTTGCAAGGGCGGCTGACGGTTGGGGTATATATCGACGTTGGCTTTTCTCAACTGGTTCGTGTGTCGTTTGAGCCGGTAACCATTATTAAGTTCAACTTGGTAGTGGAGATGTCCGAATTTTTGGATGATCGAACCAAATTTCCAAGTATTCTTGTTATTCGAATACCATCTTGCTAATACCTTGTCCCCAATTTTGAATTGTCGCGATGGTGGCAGGTCGAATTGTACTCGTTTTTGGATTTTTGAAGTAGGAGGCTTGAAGACGTCGAGCTGGCACCTAATGTTTCTATTCAAATACAATTCGGCTGGAGTTTTGCCATTCTGGAGAGGAGTGGCTCTGTATCTGAATAATATTTCGCGTACCTTGTGTTGAATAGAACCTGGTTCGGTCATACACTTCAGTTTTGGTTTCAAGGTTTGTATATAACGTTCGGCCAACCCGTTAGTTGCAGGATGACCTGGCGCTATAAACTTTTGCAAAATGGCATTGTTCAGACAGAAGGTTTTGAATATGTCACTGTGAAAAATAGTCGCATTATCTGATACCATGATTTCAGGGAATCCATGAGTGCAAAAAATGTCCAATAGCAGCTCTATGGTAGTTGCAGTCGTCTGGGCGTCTTTAATGATGCGAATTTCAGCCCACTTTGACTTGGAATCGACAAGGACAAGAAAATGGTGATTCAAAAACGGCCCAGCATAATCAATATGAACGCGTTCAAAATTATGCTGCGGATCGTCCCAATGATGGAGAGGAACTTTAGCTGGACTTTTCTGGGATAGTGCGCATTCCTGGCAGTTTTTTACCATAGCTTCTATGTCTTTGTCGATGTTTTTCCAGAAGCAGTGGCGTCTTGCCAACTGTTTCATTTTTACGATGCCCACATGTGTTCGATGCAGTTCCAAGAGAACTCTTTTTTGAAGGGCTTCAGGTATAAAAACTCGTTGATTCTTGAAAATGATGCCATTGGAAGTGCTGTATTCGGGATCACGTCGTTTTCCAGAAATGAGATCTTCATGAAGGTTTGAAAGAAATGCGTCCTTGGCTGTTTCTTCAGCAATAGTTGAACTGGTGATGACGTCAGTAGAAATCTGGTTGATGATCTGATCTTCAAGGGTTGAAACTTCGAGACTCATGATGCATTCTGTAGAGGAGCTAGATTGTGATGTAGGATAAGTAGCTCTGGAGAGACAATCAACATGTATGTGATCCTCTGCTTTTCTGTGTACAACTTTGTAGTCGAACTCTTGAAGAAAAGTCGCGTATCGAAGTAGTCTCGCTGACGTAAAGGATGGAAGCTTTCGTTTCCGGGTGTAAAATTCTGGTCAGCGGCTGGTTATCAGTGATTAGCGTGAATGGACGACCAGTAAGTAAGACATATACAGTCTTGAAACACAAAAAATTATTGCGAGTGCCTCGCGGTCAAGTTGGGAGTAATTTTTTTCTGCGTTTGTCAAAGATCTTGATATGAAGGTTATAGGCCTTTCTACGCCATTAACGTCGTGAGATAAAACACCAGCGATTCCCGTGGGACCGGCATCGCAAGCCAAACTTACTGGAAGCGATGGATCATATGGCATGAGAACTCGATCGCTAATGATTTCCGTTTTGAGCTGCTGAAATGCCTTTTGGCATTTTTGAGTCCAAACCCATTGACTTCCTTTATGAATCAATTGCTTTGTTCAGATGCAAGTCGTTCTTTTTTAACCTTTCGAGGCAAGCTATCAGTCTCTGCTTACACTCTTCAAATGTAGAGCCGTGGACGATTATGTTGTCATAGTACGACATGACTCCATCTAGATTAGCCAAAATCTGATCGAGAATTCTGTTGAATTCGCTTGGCGCGGTTTTGATACCAAACGAAAGACGATTCATGAGGTAAGTACCTCGATGTGTTGAGATGGTTTGAATTGCCTTGCTTTCGTCGCATACTTGAATATGTAAATATGCTTTGAAAAGATCCAAATGGCAGAAAAATTTTGAATTTCGAAGATTATTGAGAATATCATCAATCTTTCTTATAGGGTAATGAGCCGATTTGAGTTGTTTATTGACGCCAATCTTGTAGTCGACACAAAGACGAAGCGAATTGTCAGTCTTTGGAATAATGACTAGAGGAGAACCCCAGTCACTAACTTCAATTTTTGAAATAATGCCTGATTTCTCGAGATTGTCCAGTTCGATATTAACCTTCTCCAACAGAGCGTATGGGACAGGTCGTTCTTTGATGAAAACTGGTCTTGAATTAGGGCGCAACTCGAGGGAGCAAGTGATTCCAGGTACACATCCGACTTTGGGCTCAAATATATCAGCAAAATCTCTCATTATGTCTGCAATAATGTCAAGTGAGTTTACATTTGATAATGTAGAATTTTGTTCGTCGATATCTCCAAGGCTAATTTTCAAATGTCTAATCCAGGTTCTACCCAGGAGTGGCGAAAACTGAGCTGGTACTATGAATAGTAATTCGGTCGATTTGTGATCTCGGTATTGTACTGTAACTTCTGCGACCCCAAGAGGTTTGAAAATTCCGGAGGTGTAGGAACGAAATTGAACATGAGTCGGCCTGAGTAATGCCTTATTGAAATTCAATTTTTGAAAATCTGGTTCCGGAAGGAGCGTAATTCCGGCGCCAGAATCCACTTCGAAGGTTTGCGGTTTACCCTCAATGAGAACTTCAACAAAATATTTATTTGAGTCTTGACCAGGGCTGGATTTTTCGAAAATGTCAATAATTTGGTTGATGGCACTCAAGTCATGGAAAGAGTTTATGTTGACAAAATTTGTGTTTTGAGTTTCAGATCTTTTCTTCTTGGTTTTCTGTTGCATGAGAGTTGAAATACAAACTGCTGCAACATGACCCGTTCGTTTACAAGAATCACACCGCAGTTTTGATTTATCAGCGCGGCAATCTTTGGTAGGATGCTTAAAAGAGCAACGTAGGCAGCGGTTGTCGAGTCCTAGGTGCTAGTAATTGAGTCGAGACCGTGATTTTGAACGCGAATCTCGAGACGAACTTTGTGTATTGGTAGATGAGCTATTTGAAGACCTGATTCGATTGTCATGGTTGGTGGATGGATTTGGAGCACGCGATCTGTGCTGTCCAATTTTGTTTATGTCATTTCCTCCAAGAGGTACTGATAAAGTTGGTTGACGGTTAGAAATTTCACGGCTATCAATTTTAGACGCCTCAAGTGCAAGTGCCTTTTTCACGATGTCGTCGAATTTCGATTTTTCATCATCTAATTGCAAAATTTGTTCCCGGATAGCATTGTCCCGTATGCCCCAAATGAGTTGGGCACGCAAAAATATTTCCGCAATACTGGCTTGACAATTTTCTGCGTGACACACAAAAGCACAATCGGAAATATCGCGACGCAAAACCGCAATGTAGTCTGCAATGGACTGCCCGTCTTGTTGATACAAAGACAGGAAACGGTGTTGAGCAACCAAAATGTTTCGTTTAGGACACAAATGAGTTTCAAGCACTTGAACAATATCTTCGTACGATTTTTCGATAGGTTGCTTGGGCGCGACCAACGACACAATTAACTGGTAATTACTAGAACCTATTGAATTCAGGAGCATTTGAGCACATAACGTTTTGTCTTGAAAAACACCTTTCATCGTCAAGTAATTCTCAAAACGAGCTCTGTACATTTTGAAGTTTTCTTTGGAAGCATTGAAATTTTCGAACGGCGGTATAAGAACTTGTGGATTCACAGGAGCTTGTGTTTGAAAACCACTTTTCTGAGGTTGACCAGCGAATGTTTTTGCGATAGTTTCAACAGTGCTTTTTGTTGATTATTGAAGACTTCCATAAGCGATTGAAACTGTGTTTGATCCATTTCGAGTTAGATCGGAAATATCGAATAATAAGTAATTAAAGATTGCTTACCCTGACAAGTAAACAATACGCAAATGTCACTTTCATCTCGTCGCCAAAATTGTTGTGTATTTTGAGGTGGCACACTATTAGTTAAATTCACATGTCTTTAGTTTAGTAAACTTTAATTAATCATAACGCAGAAGTACAGAAATTATTAATATCGAATTTAATATCCTAATTGAAAAAACAATCCGTAACTAACTAACAAAATAATAATTGACAATCCTTTTTTTCCCCCCAACAGCGCGCTAGATTTTTCGACTTAATTCTAATTTTAATTGAGAACATAATAGCGTCCATCACAACAAACAAGCAACGATTGACGATCACCACCAAAAGAGCGTGATCGAAAGGAAACGATTCCCATCTACGAGAAACAGCAACGAGTAAAGCCCGTCTCTTCTATTTAAGACAATGTTTCTTTCCTTTTAACTTCCTCTTTTACTTTTCTCATCTTGAAACTAATTAGCTTAAGCAGCGATAACAAAACATTTATCTATCACTGGAGAAAATCATGACATAATCTTTTACAAAAATTACGCAAATAATTTCAGATGTTTAAATCTAATCTTTTAACATGTAATTTCTTTACAATTCAATAAACAAAACACATGCGATTACATATTTAAACAAAAGTTACACATCATTAATTAAATAATTCTAAATACAATCAATAATGACTCCAAACTAGAATAACATGATCGAAATTGCGCTTAGACCCAGTTTACAAGCAACTGTAAACGGTAAAAATAATACGGGGTGTCCTGTTACTGCAGGTGCCAAAGCCAAGTAAAATCCCCGCACGGCGTAGTTTATAGCAGCTTTTTGGGAAGATCTCCATTTTTTGCCAGAGTAATTTCAGGTAAGTGAAGGGTAGTGCAAGGAAAATTTATGTATTTTCTAATAGGGCGATCGATTTCGGGTTTATAATTTGCCCATCATCAGGCCGTGCGCCAAAAGTTGTAAAATATATACATGAATTATTAGAGCGAGCATTAGTGTCCAATCTGTGTAGTGGTGCAGCCATATATTGTAGTATATAGTTTTAGGTATGATAGTATGTTAAAAAAAGGGGACAAGAGAGGAGACGAACATTTCCCGAATAAACCAGGGATCCAACACGTTCCGTATCCCAAATTTTGGGGTTTTTCTTTACTTTCTTTCTCACAAAGTATAACACATGGAGGTATATGAAGCTTTATAAAATGCTATTGCCGATTTTGTAAAAATTCTGATCTCGACCAGATTTGGTCTCCAGGGTAACTGTGAACATGAAAAATCTAACTTTCTTTTTCGAAATTTTGAAAGAAATCCCAGCTACTCCTGTCGTAAGGATACCACTTAACTCTCTAACTGTGAATCAACCCTTAGACCAGCGTTGTACCTAGGTACTAAAAAGATTGCCGTTTTTATATTTTAGCATTTACATGCTCCCTGCCATTCAAAACATAGTTTGGTTATAACTGGAACGATCGAGAACGACTCCAGCCTCCAGCCCCCAGACGCTTCTTATAAAAATGCGATAAACGTAAGTAATCTACGGCAATTGCATATAACATTTAGATGCCATTGAATGATATTGGTAATTTTTATCATCGAAAGCAGTTAAGATAACATAGTTTTAAAAATGGCACACGCCCACTTACTACTTTTAATCAGCATTTTGTGCTATCAGTCACCTTCTGTGAGGATTTGTGCACATAGTAACCTGATATTGCTAAATTAGCGATACTAATAACCTAGGTTAATGGTTATCTTAACGTGATTTAATGATAACTGTAATTTTATTGCAATTACTGTGCAGTTTTTCCTTATCTCTCGTAAAAATAGCTACAAAAATTTCGAGCCGTTATTTTCGCAACAAACTTGTACCAATTTAATCGAAACGATTCTACCAGTAAGGAATTTTGTGGTCGTACCGTACGCACTTTGGGAAACCAAAACCCTCTGGTATCTGCCAACCAAGAGTAGGTACTGGTAGGTACTATTTGCTGTTATTGGAATTGCTACTACAATGGCTCTCATTCAAGTTCCCTTACGGTACATTTCGCTCCTCACATTTCTCTTCCGGACAATTCACCCCCAAAAATTTGCTCCCGGGTGGATCTCCTCTGGCGCTTCTCCCCTCAATGTTAGCTTGAATTTTTGGCATATTATTTGTATCTTCTCTTTGCTTATTATACTTTACCAGCCGTATTCCATAGGTTTGATGATGAATTTTGATAAACTTTTGAAAATTGTCTTGGTTTTGTTTGATAGTAGGGCGTGAACCGCACTTCAGGAACTGTTGAACCACACGATCTACGTCATTTATTTGATATTATGGAGAAATATTTCCAAGTCTGTTGGTAACTCTTCTGAGATGTACAAGAGAATATTTAAGAAAATGAATTAAATTGTGTTTGCAACACGAAGGCTCTCATTTTGAGCATGTGTTGAAGAAGAAATGGTTTTTTAAATAATTTGATCCTATTTTCATATAAGTTTTGTGTTTTAAATTATAGCTGATCACATTGTTGTCTTTTTTATTAATGAATTATTTAGACTAGAATCAATGATATTAAAGAATCCTTTCCTTGATTTGTTTAAAATTCGATTGCTATAAAATCATGGCTAACTACTGAAAGGAAAATGCGAAAAAAAATGGTATCAATTCAATGACATGGGAATAAATCAGAAACGTTAAAGATAGCTATAGGAACATGTAATATCAAAATATGCCAATTTCGATTCTATATCTCAGGCAATAGTAACAACATGGTCATTCCATTTAAAAAAACTGAGTTTTAGTCTTTGAAGTTTCTTAAATTTGGATCTCAGTAGGTGAGTAAGTGCACTAAAAGAAAGCCCTATTCATTGTCTATGAACAGATAAAAATGGGTTGCCATGACTACAACCGTTTTCAAGTAATCAGTTATCAAGGTACCATCTGCATCCGACATTTTTTTTCATAAAGTGAAAATAACTTAAAAATCATAAATGGCAGATATCAACATGTGGGTATCAGAAGAAATGAAATTTCACGTAGAATCCAAAAATGCAATAAAAAATAGGGGTTGCCATTTAAAATATCGAAGTTACTATCTACTTCCGGTATTTCCAGAAGTGCAGCCATTTTGAAAATATTTTATGAACTCTGACGTTCGTAACATCTGCAAATTTTCCCCGGGCGCACATTACTCTCACTATACCTCCATTTATCCATACGGTTAGTTTATCCTTGTAGTCCAGTCAAATAACGGTTTGGGCTGGATGTTGTCACTTCACTCAACGAAACCAAGCGCATCCTATGTAAAAAAATCCGCTGAATCCGAAAATCACAGTCCCCCTGGCCGGAAACGCCCGGAACGTATTGTTATTAACAAAAAACGAAGAAAAAAGGAGGCAAAGTCGAGTTTTTTCGCATTTGACTTCGAATATCTCGTTAACTATTGCTCTGAGGGAAAGAATGAATAGAAATGAACTTGTTTAGAATAACATTTTCTATAAGATGCAGTTGGTCCGGAACGATCATTTTCAATTGTTATTGTTGTTTATGGAAAAATGTGAAAAATTAATCCCTAAAATTAACAGTTTATTACCAAGTAAAATTCTTCCGATCTTTTTGAAAATCCGTATTTAGTAACTTATTTTGATAACAAAACAATATGACAAACCCGATCATCGTAGGTTTCATAGTAATTGATTTATACTCAGTGACATGGAAATTGCAACACCAAGAAGGAATTGGAATTTTTTGACCAAACTTGGCAGAAACGTTTAGCTACTAAAAGGTAACAAATGATTAAAATTTAAAAGAAAAAGGATGAAATATAAACATATTTTTAATAATAATAATAGTAGTCCCTCCCTATTGGTTACGCACTCCCTCACGCTTCGTAGCATCGATTTTAGCAGACGGCCGATTTCCTCTTGAGGCATTGTGTCCCAAGCAACTGTG